ACTTTTGCTCAACCAATAAATGTCTCCTAAGACCCACGACCATTCTGGCCAGGTCGTCCGCTGCGTGAGGTGGCAGTCACTTTATAAATATATTAAAGAGAGAGAGAGAGAGAGAAAATTTCACATCCTTCTCCTACAATGTCAAAGGATTTATTTTCAATAACTAAAAAGCATTTGCATTAGGCCAGCATATCACCACCTTATCGTCGTTGCTGCTCGTCGAGCTTGCACAACCTCTACCAGTAACTGGTGAGCAAAGGATACGCCCTTTCCTCTACTAGGCCCGAGCCCCCTATTGCCTCACCTTTGGCCGACTGCCTTTGCCTTTGTCTTCACCTTCTCGTATTGATGTCCTGCTAATAGACGTTTGTCTTTGGTCCCATATTCCACTGCTTCAAATATTAAACAGAAGAAGAAATTACTTCTAATGTGCAAAATAACTACATGATTCAACTACCTATTTAACTGATTTCAATCTAGTTAAGTTAAAAACCACATCCTTAACCCACTAGATTAAATCAGAGGTGAGTAGCACAACCACCAAAGCCAAGTCTGGCTAGTACAACTAGGCTGTGCCTACCCTAGGCAAAGTCCCATCAAAGTACGCTGAGCTTGGCCCAGCAAAAGCAACCCAAAAGCCTCTACTGTTTCAACAGGATTAAAAACTTTTACTGTTAAGGAGATCCAATCTTGACATGCTTGTTTAGGTTGGGGAATTGTAAGTATGGCTAATGATAGGGCTTAGTAGGTCTTTGGTAAGCATATTAAATTCCTCAAACCCAAGCAAAGTCCTGCATGTTCAAATGATGACTATTAAATCCCACCAAATGCAATATAAGGATGCCAAAGGATACCCCATTTATTGAAGACTGAACTCCATACCTCCTCCTGGAAAGGAAAAGGGATGAGCACTAAGGTCCTAGAATTATGTACCTAGTAACAGCTGAACTCCTCAATTTTCACAGCAGAAAAATAACAAATTTCCACAGCTGGTCCAAGAAGCTAGACCAGAAGAGCTAATATCAGATCCTAAAGCAATGTAGCCAGTAAGAACTGAATCCTTCAATTTTCATGGCAGAAAAATAACCAATTTCTGCAGGTTTGATCCAAGAAGCTTGACCGGAAGAGCCAATTATAGTTTTTCACCTAATTACAAGACCATCTTTAAACAAAATAAAAAGAAAAAACAACTCAGCTTCTATTTGGCTCCAATTCAACCATATTTTTCCTCTCTGCCCAAGCTATAACAAGCACAAGCAAATTCTGACATCATTTCCCAGAAAGAGGTGTTTGGATATTCAGAAATTTTAATTTTGTAAGCAGCAATTGCCTGCTCCTTGGTTAACCTTTAAAAAAACGAGATTTTCAGAATTGTTGACTTGAAAAAACAGAATGAACGTATCTGAAATCCCACTTTTCTACATGCAAGAAAATGAAGCATTTTGACTACTTATAAGATAACCTTGATAAACATGAAGGACCACAATCAAACCTCATTTAATCGTAAATCTCGACCATATCGCAACTGTGTGCTAGAGTTGAAGATATGCTCCATTCCATCTGTTGTGGAACCATCAGTAGAATCTATATCTTCAAACTTAGTGCTGTCTGATACGATAGTATCCGAAAAGGAAGAAGGAACCATAACAGGATGCATAGGTAGCATGTAAGGGGTAGACATAGAGATTAAATTCAGATTGGTTTGTGTTTCAAATTCTTTAGACTTGCAAGAACGTGTGAAAAATGATAAAGCTAGATCTTCCCGGCCAAGAAGAATGTATGCTGCCCCAGGCCAGTTAGTTGGAGGTGATTCTCGACATTTATCCAATGCCTACAAAGCACAAAAGCCAAATTGTGTAAGGAAAAAGAGAATAATAGACTAAAAGATAGTTGAAGACTATTTCAAGGATGATTGATCATATGTATGAGTAAGAAACTAAAGATGTAGGAATAGAACAGTGTAATTAGTCCGATGAATGACAATTATTTCTTCAAGAGAATACACAAGTTCAAGGAACAAATATATAAAAATCATATCCCTAAATAGATAAAAATCATATCCCTAAAGTAGTATTGCTCCAGCTCTATGTCCTTGTGACTTTCGGGTAAACCCAATAGACAGTTTCAATGCATAAATAACTGTTCTGAAACTTTATATGAACAATTATGCGCTCAAAGTTGCAACTGTAACTCACGTGTCGCAAAGGAAGGGATACACCAAAAGGCAATAAGTCAAGCTGCTGAAGCCCAAATCTTTCCCCAACCATTGCCAAGACAGTCAGTTCCTCATTTGTGCTATATGACCCTGCAGCAATTCTGCAATATACACCAGATGAAAGCTTTTTCCCCACCGGTTTTGCACCACATAATACACTATAAAAGGAGATAATCTTCCGTGCCCAGCTCACAACAGAGTTTCCATCTTTATGAATCAAATCTGGAAGATCACATTTGCTGGCAGAATTACATCCATGTTGCAAGCAGTTGTCAAGCCATCTGAATAAACTAGGAGGTCCTCTCGAGGAGAAAGAATGTGTGCATATTCCAACCACTTGGGAGAGACTGGGGAAATCGCGGATATAATGGTCCAGATAACATTCGTCACCCAAACATTTGGCGAGGTTGCACAAAAGATCCGCTAAAAGTTCCAAGTCCCTGTGCAGAACCACTCAAAAGTGTTGGATAAACATGAATTTATAAGTAAAATATGCTAAACTTCCCTATTTCAAGAAAAATAAACTAAACTTCCCAAAAAGTTCAACAAACTTATGAGAGGAGCCATATAGATAGAGGAGGAATATCACAATTAGCATGAGCAGAAGCAAAATCGACATAGTCAAGCACAGTGCAGCTTAATTTAAGGAGCCATATAGATAGAAGAGGAATATTTTTTTTTTTAAATAAAGATAGAAGAGGAATGTAACAATTAGCAATGTGAACAGAAGCAAAATCTACACAGTCAACCATAATGCAGCTTAATTTAACCCTCGTAGCAAATCATTCAGCTAGGCAGAAGACAACACCTCATCCTAGGTCCATATAGCAAATGTTTTTCTATTTTTCTAATTTAAGACAAATTACAGCTAATTTGCTCGCTAAGAAGCAGCATAACAAGAGAAATCAACAAAAGAACAATTTTCAAGGGTAAATCAGAGAGAAGTTTCAGAACAGACTAAATCTCATGAAAGCACAAATTTAAGGGAAAAAAATGCACTTACCGTTTCCGCAGATTATCCAACTTCAAACTTTCATAAACAGCATGCAGAGAATCTAAACTCTTTATCAATAATTCCGAGTAAAAGGAATCTTCTATACTTTCTGAACCATCTATGTTCGAACTAGGTGAAGCCTGGAGGTCAAGTGATTTTCCAGAAGATCTTGCAGCAGTGGAGCTGAGCCCAACATAGTCCTTGTGAAATTTGCTGTTAAGAAGAAACTCCCAAGAAGACGCCTGAGCCGGCTCTGAGAGCTCTTTAGAAATTACATTAGACTTGCTGCACATCTGCTTAATAATGCTACAAAAAGCATCCCACTCTGAATCAACCATAGAATTAGCCTCTGATAAATAGACAGAATTACTGTCTCCCCAGAGAAGAACAAGGAAATGATTATAAAGATCAGAAGACAGCCCCTCAGCCATTGCTGTTATGCAATCATTCGCCAATAAAGATGAAGGACTTCTTCGTAATACACAGCGCAATAACTGGAAATGTAAGAAAGAAAAGAGTCAATAGCGACTATAAACAAATAGACCAGAAACATTATTTGACTATAAACTTTCAGTCACCAGCTACGAAGAATTCTAATTCGGTGATTTTTTTGGCATGTAAACTACTATACCAAGAAATCGACTAAGAAGAAAGCAATAAATGAGAACCAAGAAAGTCCTAGAGCACTTAAACCCCACGTACCTGCCCATTGTTTACTATCACATTGATTCGCCCCCCAACAATATCAGATAGTCCTATGATCTTCAACTCGTGTGCACCTGATGTTGTTTCCGAGAAATCCAAATTTTGAGAAACAAGACCTCTACCCAAGTAAGAAGGCAACATA